TCAAATGTACATGAAAAGTCTCCAGGATAGATCACATGATAACCCACAAAACAAGTTTTAGTAAATTTAAGAAGACTAAAATCATATCAACATCTTTTCTAACCACAACAGGATGAAACCAGAAAGTTTCAGTCACAAGAAAACAGTTGCAAGAAACACAAACCCATGGAGGCTAAACAACATGCTATTAAACAACCAATAGGTCAATGAAAAAAAATCAAAGAGGAAGCCAAGAGATACCTGAGGACAGATGGAAATGAAACCACAATGGTCCAAAAGCTTTGGAATGCAGCAAAAGCGGTTCTAAGGAGGGATGTTTATAGTCATACAGACCTACCTCCAGAAGCAAGAAAAATCTCAAATAAAGAATTTAATCTTACACCAAAAGGAAGTAGTAACAGAACAAACAAAGCTCAAAGTTAGTAGAAAGTAGGAAATAATAAAGATCAGGGCAGAAATGAACAAAATAGAGAATTGAAAACAATAGATAATACCAATGCGTCTAAGAGCTGATTTTTTGAAAGGACAACCAAAACTGATAAACTTTTAGTCAGACTCATCAAGCAAAACAAGAAGGACCCAATACTTACCTAACAGGAGAGATACCACAATCACAAAAAAAAAAAAAAGAGGACTCAAATGAAATCAGAAATGAAAGAGAGGTTACAATTGATATCACAGAAATATGAAGGATTGATTACAAAAGATGACTATAAAAATTATATGCCAATACATTGGACAATCTAGAAGAATTGGAAAAATTCCTAGAAACAATCTTCTGAGACTGATTCAAGAAGAAATAGAAAATGTGAATAGACCAATTCCTAGTAATGAAATTGAATCAGTAATCGAAAAACTCCCAACAAACAAAGTCCAGGACTAGAAGAATTCTAGTCACAGGTGAATTCTACCAAATATGTAAAGGAGGATGAATACCTATCCTTCTCAAAATATTTCCCCCTCAAAATAGTAGAGCTTGGAGTTTTTATATTTATCTAATTTAGCTGGAAGCAGCAAGCAGAGCCCTATCAAACAACTCAAGAATACTTAGAGGAACGTGCCATTCAGCATAAATGAGAATAGTGCAGGGAAGACCTGGTAGTGAAGGAACCGTCAGAGAGGGAAATATTCATTATGAGGTTTGGATGAAAACGTGGAGGATGAGAGTAGAGATGGTGTTCTAAGTGTGAAGACCAGCAAATGTACATGAGCATAGGAATGAGTGAATGAGTTGGTGGAGAGCAGGAATGGGGTTAAGAAGCAGAATCTCCTTGGGGCGCCTGGGTGGCTTGGTCGGTTGAGCGTTCGACTTTCGCTTAGTTCATGATCTCGCGGTTCGTGGGTTCGAGCCCCGCGTCAGGCTCTGTGCTGACTGACAGCTCAGAGCCTGGAGCCTGTTTCAGAGTCTGTCACTCCCTCTCTCTCTGACCCTCCCCTGCTCACGCTGTCTCTCTCTCTCTCCTAGAAATAAATAAAACATTAAAAAAAAATAAAAAAAAAAAAGAAGCCGAATCTCCTCGGCTCACAGGAGACATTCTCCATGCTGGGGAATAACTACATGGCTGCTTGGTGAGGAAAGAAATGGGAGGCAGGGGAAGAAGGGATTGTCGGGGTCATATCTGGCAGAGGTGGCAGAGTGGAAGGTCTACCAGATTCTGGTGACTAGACATAAATGTCATGAGAGCAATGGCTTTTCACTTGCCTGTTTTGATCTGCTGTATCCTCAGTGCCTAGAAGAGTGCCAAGTAAACTGAAGAGACTCAGGAAATATTTGTTGAATGAAAAAAAAAGTGAATGAATGAGTAAAATACAGGCACCTACGAGACTGAAGTTCTTGAGCAAGGGAATACTGTGATAGGAATGTCCAAGGAAGAATATTTTTGTAAATGTGTGATGGATGATATCAATGTGTAAAGGAACAGAGACAAAGAGATCAATATAGAATGTCATGATGGAGACTTATGTAAGAATCATAATCACAGGAAGAGAAAAGACATAGGGCAGAAGGAAAATAAAGGGAGGGAAAGGGACATAATATGGACTCGGATCTAGAAGAACAAGAGCCAAAGCAAGGCAAAGGGCTACTTCAAAATCATTTGGATTCCAAACAGGTGACGGGAATTCAGGACTGCGCTTGTTGTGATGAGCACCGGGTGATGTATGGAGTGTTGAATCATTATACGTACACCGGAAACTAGTAAGACACAGTATATTAACTAACTGGAATTTAAATAAAAACTTTAAAAAATGGGCACCCGTGTAATTAAATACTAATGTTTCTCTATTTTGAAATATGAAAATGGCTTCAGAATCCCTCATAAAACAATGAACTAACTGTAATTTTTTGTGTAGGCAAATATGTTATAGCTTGGGCAAATACAGGGCTGTTTTTCCAGGGTATCTTTGGAACTATTTTTAAGTGGTGGTGACTTTTCACTCTGAAATAATGCTGATGGAGGAACTGACTAGATTCACAAAGCCAGCTTATAAGTGTCATGAATGGTTCTGTGTCTAACTCTCCCAGCAGTCATCTATCCTATCTCATAACCATCCCAAATTACTGCCTCGACTGGGTTGCTTTCACTGAACCCTGCCATTCAGGATGGACGGACTGATACCCTGATTTCAACCAAGTGTCAGGAAAGAGACTGAATCACTTTGATGTGATCAATTATTTCTTTGTTTTTTTTTTTAATAAGTGAATGTTTATAACACAGACTGTATTATTGGAGAGGCCTACTTGAAAGCCAAAGCCACTGATCTGAATATGTAAATTCTAGAATACACAGCACCTTAGATAAGCCGAGGTAACTGTTTCCTACGTGATTAATGACAGCAAGAATTAAACTGCAGTGGCTGGCATATGGGAAATTGCTAAGAATGAAGAGCCCATATTTTGGCTGACATGTTGTTTGCCACTTTCGATTCTCCTTTTATTTCATCAAGTTCACACGAAGGAGAGAAAAGGCACTGAGTGATGTTCAGAACAATTAGAGCACCTTTCTTTTTCTTTTCCTGCCAAAAGAGTAACTTTCTTTTCTTTTACCTTATCTACCAACATCTTTCCCATTTCACACATTTCATTCCCTTTTAATGATAGATGTTATGAAAGTGGCCTTTGCCATTACACACACTGACCTCTCTTCGAGTCTAAGGGACAGAGGGCGAATGGAGTGCCGCTGTCCTTGAAAATGCCACTGCCCATTGTTGTTCCCAACTCTCCTCAATACATCGATACAAACTTCATGGACCAAACCGGGAGATCAAAATGAGTGCCTTGGGGGCTGGGGTGCAAACTTGGGAGGAAAACCTTACAAATAAAAATAAATCCTGGGGCACCTGGGTGTCTCAGGTTAAGCGTCTGAGTCTTGATTTCAGCTCAGGCCACGATCTCACAGTTTGTGAGTTCGAGCCCTGGATCAGGCTCTGCGCTGACAGTTATGGAGCCTGCCTGGGATTCTCTCTCTCTCTCCGTTTCTCTCTGCTCCTACCCCATTCTTGCAGTCTCTCTCTCTCTCAAAACAAATAAATAAACTCGTAGAAACATCTGTTTCCCTATTCCATTCTTTAATTTATTATGTATTTCTGTGCGAAAGTTAGGAGAGTCTTACCTTTCCCTTTCTGCTTTATACTCCACAGTATTATTATACTGATGTTAAGTTAAAAGCTCAGACTCCGAAGCCAGACTCCCTGCCTTGGATCTTGGATCTGCCACTTAATAACTAAATGGCCTTAGGAAAATTATTTAGCCCTTCTGGACCTCACTTTCTTCAAATACCAAGATAGAATAATAACAGAAACTATCACTTAGGGCTGCTGAGAGCATTAAATGGGTCAAGAAATATAAAGTGCCCAGGACACAGCATGATATGTGATGTACTGGGTGGTGGCTGCTGTCATTAGTAGTATTTCACATTTCAGTACAGAATTTTACAAGAGTGCTTCTGAATTACTAAATTTCAGTGAAATTTCCCCTCATTAGAGAAGTAAATATGCTGTATGTCAAAAGTTTGGCCAACTGAGAAGAACTATAAAGGAGAAAAAGAAACCTCCATTCTGTCATCTTACAACCTAGGGGTAGTCCCTCCTCCCCAGGGTTTAGCATGTTTCCTTCCATCTACCACAACATCCATGTGTCTTCCTCTGCCACCTTCTGCTACCACCTCTCTTCCATACACAGAAGAAAGCACGAAATATTTTTATAAAGACGTGTGAAATTAGGACACACAAGTGATCAGAAAGCAGGAAACCCGACTAGAACTCCCTGTGTTTCCCATGTCATCTATGTGACACAGGGCATTGCACGTAACCATCCCTGCTCTTTGCACCTCCACTGAACCATCTCACAATGGGTAAAGCGAGAGGTCCTCTGTGCGCTCTTTACAGCAATGCTGAGATGCATCCCCATTCACTTGTTGGGAGAAAAGGCAACCGTACAAAAGAGGAGAGTATAGAACAGCTACAGGCTTAGGCTGTGGAGGATGTGGTGAGAAAATCTGAGAGGGAGTGGAAGATCAGAACTTTCTATAATTTGTCCCTAGCTGCAGGAGCTATGGAAAGGTCTCCTCTAAAGTGTTAATTACAAGGCTTTCCGGTATTTAAGGAATGTCCTCTGTTATGCATTTACAGCAATGCCAAAGAAAGAATGACACGATAAACACACGTTAATTTTGTCACTTTTTGTATAATCCTGTAGTAAGCCAAGAGAGAACGCTATCAAATTAGGATAGCTGTGCTCCTCATTTAAATTCACTCTAATGTCTTAATACGCATCTCTCCTGTGGTTATAAAACATCACCATTTTAATTTAGTCTGAACCCTCAAGAATCATCTCCATACCAAGCAAATGAATGATTCATTTATTCAAAATAAAATGAATCATTCTGAAATTGGGCGATTTACATAAACATAGGCGATATTAGCTACTTGAGCTAGGAAAATGAGGGAAATCTCCCCACTTTAATTCATGTCTGCCTTTTTTGCCCCTGATCTGTTCCTACCTAATGTTGAGAGACTTCTTCCGAAGCTCACTCCACTTGAAGTTCATGTTATCCAAGCGTCTCTGCAAATGGGCTGCGTCATCAGAACCTTCCAGGGATCTCAGGACTTTTTGGCCATTTTCATCCAGGTTGTGATAGATATCTGTGTGAGCTTCGATTTCTCCTTGGAGGTCCTACGAGGCAGCAGGAAGAAGAACATGCGCAGAGTTACCAAACAAAAGAGATCGGCTAAATATGAGTTTGGAGAAGTGTAAAACATGATTCGTTCAAAAGACATTCGAACTGGGTAAACTAATAAGAAGATGTAGCCCCAACTTACTCTTCTTGGTACATCATCTCTTCATGTTATTATGTAGATTGGAAGTGGGCATCTTATTAGGTATAATAAATTTATTCCTTGCCATTATAAATTGGAACATTATATATCGGCAACTTTACAAATTTCTTAAGTTATCTCTACTCGTCCACAGACAAAAGAGAGTGTTTCATGGAAGCGATATGAGATAAAATTCCATGATAAAGTGCACCCCAGGGCCGATAATTTCATTACACTATGGGTTGAGTCATATTTTCCATGCACATAAGTAATCTGTAGAGTTGATTCTGACCATAAAAGCATGGAGAGACTAATAAACAAGGTTGTACTCGGTCCACAGCACCAGCACATTAATGGGATTCCATCATAGGAGAGCATCTTCTTGACAATACACATTAAGTTCACCTTGGCATTACAGCATCAGACATTTATTATAGCGTCATACATTTATTAGTAAGATTTCCCATTTAAAATACCATCGTATTTTTAGGCTTGACAGGTAGAAATTCCGCAGGACCTTGAGAAGAGTTATGAGAAGAGATTATACATTCACCCTCATTTGTATATACACAGATCAAGAAAATTATCATAGTAGAAGAATCTGACCTTTACATGGTATGTCTTCCTGTGTAACATTTTCAGCTTGAACCGGGGACTACAGCACTGACCGTGTTGCATAGCAATCCTGAGAAAACCCGGAGAGTGAAAGAGCCCTGCTTTAAAATGCCAACTTTGCTTACATTCTGTTGACAGAATGAATTTCAGAGCACAGGCCTCACCAGTCAATAATAATAAACAGCCACTTTGTACTCCTCACTAAACGGTGGCCAGGCCTGTGGGTGTGGGAGGGACCTCAGAGAGGAGGCCTGGAATATGCAACTGGCAGTTTATATTAAACAGCCAACTTTTCTTATCATTTTGCCATTATAAGCCAGAGACATTAGAAATTCATTTTCTATATGTGTTTCCCTCCTTGTTCCCAACAGAACAGTCAAAGCCAAAGGAACATTCCTTAGAGAGCTGCCGGGTACCAGCATTCCTTTCTGCCCACACAATGAATGGGGCCTTTGTACATTATCTGACTTGCTCTGAGAGATTTGTATGCTTCTGTTCAACAAGTTTAAAAATTCATTCTGAAGCTCTGAACAATTGGATTGATCTGTGTAACTAGAAACTTTTTTTTTCTTGCTCTCTCTTTCTAAAATGGAATTAAATGACTCTTCTGAAGTGAGGGGGAATGTGAGAGTGGTAACATGTTAGCAGTTCTGAAGAACAGGCTTGTGTCTTCAGTCACAGACTCCGAGATGCGGACTTCGGAATGTTGGGAAGTAAGGTAGATAGACAATGAATGTCCCTGTCACTGGTTTTGGCAGCCAAAGTATCACTGATGGACCCTAAAGAGAATTCTGTCCCATTCTCTTTGACTGGAAGTCATGAGGGGAGGAGGAATATGGATAGAAGCACATCCAAAGTTTAAAGAAGGGAAATAGTAAAACAGATCAAGCAGCATCTCTCTATACCATCACAAGCAGGCTTGTTCTGGAAGGACAGAGTCCGATTTTGAAGCCAGCTTACATGGTGGAACACTGGTATTGGGCTCCTTGCAGGATGGAGTTTGACCAAACACACATCTCTGTTCTATGTTTAGGTTCCCTACATGGCAGAACACGCCCCTGCTGAATTTGCCACTTCTTTAGGAATGGAGAAAAGTGAGGTTAATTTATCTAAATAAATCAGGACTCAAAACCAAACAGGTCCAAGGCATCCACAGAATCCCCCCTCCCCACTTGTCTCTTTACTTTTCTTCTTTTGTATTTGATTTAGAACATTGCCTCAGAGTGCTCACTTAGGGGACTGAAACCAAACCTTCAGTTGTTCAAGAAAATAAGATCTATTCTAATACAATCAGCTTTGTGCATCAACATGCACATAAATGACAGTTCATCTGAAGTTTTAGATGCCGCACTTAGAGCAGAGACCAAAGCTCAATCAATAGTTCCTTGAGATGATGTAGATCATGAAGTCATCAACACCTTGAATAAATGAGAGATCTTCCCCAAGCATAAATAGGAAGTTGATTCATAAGGTTGCTAATTTTCAGCTTTGCTATTTCCATTACACTGCCGATAAACATCTGTGTTGTATCTTTGAAAAAAAGAAAAAAATGTAAAAGTGATGAACCAGTATTTACTGAGGACTGGTTATTCGTCTAGTCTTAGCACGGTGGGAAGATAAGAGGAACGTAAGAGACAGCTCTGTCTTTACGTCTCCGGAAATCTAGTGTGTCCTTCTGAATTAACTCTTTCACATTACCAACTAAAGATGGATGGGAATTTCCCGCCAAACCTCAGAGATGTTGGGATAAAAACTTCTCCCCTTGGAAGTTCAGAGGTGGCTGAAGTGAAGTCATGGTATTGGCAGGAGGTAGCTTATAGCTTGTGCCCCTTCTCTGGGTCACCGTGATGGTTGACAGCGACAAATGACACATGAACAGTAATGGCCTTTACACTGTACAGAACACTTTCGAAGGTACTGCTTTATCCTTCCTCCTGGACCTGTGGGGTACAGGTTCTCTCTGTTTTTCATATGAGAGCACCGAGGCAGGGAGATGTTTAAGTGACTTGCCTAAAGTCACATATCTTGTAAGTAACAGAGTTCTTTTCACTCTAGAAGATCTTGGGCTGCCCCCGACCCCATTTGCTATGAGCGCTGATTATAATAGACAGTGGTTACTGAAGCTGAACAAGGCTATTCCTAACAAGCTGGGGAAAGCAACTGTTGACAGAAAAGCACCTGGAAAGCCGACATTACTGATTTCGATTAGAAATTTCCCCCCTTGGGATCACCATCCCAGACTTCAGCCTCTACTACAAAGCTGTCATCCTCAAGACAGTATGGTATTGGCACAAAAACAGACCCATAGACCAATGGAACAGAATTGAGAACTCAGAAGTGGACCCAAAAGTATACAGCCAACTGATCTTTGACAAAGCAGGAAAGAATATCCAATGGAAAAAAGACAGCCTTTTTAACAGATGGTGTTGGGAGAACTGGACAGCAACATGCAGAAGAATGAAACTAGATCATTTTCTCACACCATGCACAAAAATCAACTCAAAATGGATAAAGGACCTGAACGTGAGACAGGAAACTATCAACACCCTAGAGGAGAAAGCAGGAAACAACCTCCTTGACCTCCACCGCAGCAACTTCTTACTTGACACATCCCCAAAAGCAAGGGAATCAAGAGCAAAAATAAACTGTTGGGACCTCATCAAGATTAAAAGCTTCTGCACAGCCAAGGAAACAACCCAGAAAATTAATAGGCAACCAACGGAATGGGAAAAGATAGTTGCAAATGACATATCAGATAAAGGGTTAATATCCAGAATCTATAAGGAACTCACCAAACTACACGCCCGAAAAACAAACAACCCAGTGAAGAAATGGGCAGAAGACATGAACAGACACTTCTCCAAAGAGGACATCCAGATGGCCAACAGACACATGAAACGATGCTCAGCATCCCTCCTCATCAGGGAAATACAAATCAAAACCACACTGAGATACCACCTCACGCCAGTCAGAGTGGCTAAAATGAGCAAATCAGAGAACTCTAGATGCTGGCGAGGATGTGGAGAAACGGGCACCCTCCTACACTGTTGGTGGGAATGTAAACTGGTACAGCCCCTCTGGAAAACAGTGTGGAGGTTCCTCAGGAAACTAACAATAGAACTCCCTTATGACCCAGCAATAGCACTGCTAGGAATTTACCCAAGGGATACAGAAATGCTGAGGCATAGGAGCACATGTACCCCAATGTTCATAGCAGCACTCTCCACAATAGCTAAAACATGGAAAGAGCCTAAGTGTCCATCAACAGATGAATGGATCAAGAAGATGTGGTTTATCTATACCATGGAATACTACATGGCAATGAGAAACAATGAAATCTGGCCATGTGTAGCAACATGGATGGACCTTGAGGGTGTTATGCTGAGCGAAATAAGTCAGGCAGAGAAGGACAAATACCATATGTTTGCACATATAGGAGGATTAGGAGGAACTTGACGGAGGACCAAGGGGGAGAAGAAGGGCGGAAATGGTGGGGGAAAGGGAGAGAGGCAAACCATGAGAGACTCTTGAATGCTGACAAAAACTGAGGACTGATGGATGTGGGGGGGAGGGGGGGATGGGCATGAAGGAGGGCACTTTGGGGATGAGCACTGAGTGTTATGTAGAAACTAATTTGACAATAAACTATTTGTAAAAAAAAAAAATTAAAAATATCATATTCTAAAAGCAAAAAAAAAAAAAAAAAAAAATTTCCCCCCTTGGATTGATTTGCTCTGCATGGAAACTTGAATCCTGACCATGTTTTTCACTTCTTATTTTACAGCTGGGCATCTGGGACCCCCTGTGAGCAAAAGCCGTTTGCGTTTTCAAGGGCCCCTCACGCAAAATACCCTTGCTGCTAGAACAGACATTCTCCCCTCAGTAACATGTTCCTGTGGGTACAAGAGCCATGTGAACACTACACGAAGTGATGACTTGACACATCAATATCGATGCGGCTTGTCCGTGCTCCTCTGGAACCACAGGCTGGTAGGGGGCCTGTCAAGCCACAGGACTCAGGCAGGCTGCTCGAAAATGGAGGTGAGTGTTGGTGAAGAACACAAGGGTTTTTTGAAAGGAGGTTGGCGTGCTGCAGTGGAGAGTTTTTAATACGAGCGGGCAGCGTGACTCCTAGGTGGGGGGAGACGGTAACAGGACAGGTAGGAAGGGAGACACCCACACTTGCATAAAACTTGCGTAATGGCGTTTATCGTAAGATGAACCTTAGATTCGGGGGCCACA